TTGTTGACCCCTCATGATCTCACAAGGAAATATTTTTCATCATCTTTAAATAAATGAATAAAAAATAAATAAAGAAAATGACTACCAAAGGGGCCACAAGTGGCAAAAACTGTAAGGCCCATCCCTCTTTGAAAATGCATTTCAAATTGATTGTTAAAATTATCAATTTTTAAAAAGAATTTCCCTTTTTAGAAAGAACTTCCTCCATCACTACAAGAGATTAAATTGTTAGTCGATCTGACCTTGCTCATGAAGCTAACTTCTTATGCCTGTTATGAAGGCTTGGAATTAGATGGTTAATGAGTATAAATGCAAACTACCACATATCGAATATGGGTAGACCTCTCCTATGACGACATTGGCTAGTTCGGGAGCACTCTCTCTCTAAGCTAGATCCCCTAAGGCAAAAGGAGGTAAACTCATCCCCGTGTGTGTGTATGACGGTACATTAAGTGGAATTTTGAGACAAAAATCCTATAACTAAGGGGGGTGAGTTTGTCAAAATTCAGTCTGAAAAGTGTGTGCAAATAAAAATGTCCCTCTCTACCTCAGTAAATCAATTGCACATAAAAGATTAACAAATAAAACACCCCATAACTAGGGCAGTGGAGCAAAAAATAAAAAATAAAAATTTTCCCCATAACAATGGCAAAGGCTATAATACCCCGAAAAAAAAAAGACTGTTTTCAGACATTTAATTAATTTTTGAAAACTTTTAGATACTCCCTAGTGGCACGAGTTTAAATAGCCAACCAAAATCACAATTCAAAAAGTGTCAAACTCGTGCAATGTAAAAGAGCCGAGACAAGAAAACATATAACCTCGTACGACGTTAAAGGTCGGGTGTGTTCAGAAAATTTCTAATCTCGTACGATGTAAAATGTAGGGTGTATACATCTAGCCCCGTATGACGTAAAAGGTCAGGTGTATCTGTCCATTGCTGCAGGACATTAAAATGCTTAAAGAGCTCTATAGTTGGAGGAGCTAAAACTGCTAATTAAAAGTTTTGTTTTTCAAAATATCTTTCTCTTTTTGAAATGATTCACTATATGTCTTGTGTTTTCAAAAACTTTAATTTCTTTCTTAAGATCATGACCTGTCTACAGCTCCGGGATCCATTTCAAAATTCCCCCTTGTTTTCAAAATTTCTAAAAAGACTTTTAAAAACGAAAGAGCTTGGACACCCTTATATGATGATTATTGCATTGCTGCCTCATCTCTCTCTTCAGAATTGACCAGGCAAACCTTGTCTTAAAACTATAGAAGACTTTAGAAAACCCTAAAGGAATAAAAGAAAATGTCAGGTTTAATAATTTAAAATTGTGAAAACCCATGAAGTTAAGTCACATGGACAGAAAATCCAACTCAAATTTCTAGCTTGTGTAATTCATCGACATTTCACACTGAAAAACCTAGGATGAAAATGCCCTAGGTGGGTGAGTGGGGAGCACAATGTCTTTGAGGGATAATTGGTGTGCCCTCTTACCACGAAACGTCATGATGGACTTTAAAAATATTTGCATTATCTTTGCCACTCACCTACCGCTTGAAGGACAGTCAAAGAGTGTCTACGTCTTTGCCACTTTTAGTAAAAAAAAAATCATTAAAAATGGCAAAACAACTCGTTTTGACGCAAATTTTGTCATGCAGCATCACAAGAGCTCGTAGATCCCCTCATAACTGGAATCTAGCGGTTTGGGGCAGATTTGGTTGGGCAACACTAGTAGCGTATAGCCCTGACCGGACTGCCCCAAAATTGGCAGTTTCCGCATGCCAACTTCTCCCAAATCATTTTTGGCCAGGTTCAATGAACCTGGACCATTTTGGTCTGAGCGACACTACCAATGTCACCCAAGCCTTAGACCACCAAAATGGCAGTCCAAGCTGGGAAATCTTCTGCTTATTATATGTTACCCATTCCAGACGATTTTCAACTTACAAAAAGGTCATTTCGGGTCATTTTAGGCTATACTTTTTAGACTTGATTAGCTTGTGTGCCCAGAGAAAACTTTGCGTTCGTAAGACCTGAGAAGAAACCTAGACCTAGGAAAACATTAAATTTAGGTCACCTATAACCCTTAGATTAAGAGATCCATTCAACCAAACTAAGGCCTGGTCAGAACGTTAAGAGAAACAAAGAGGATGCACCACATAAACTCAGCCGGTCTTGATACGGGTGAGGCCTCAAAGCCTCGGGAGCCTCGGGCCAACTAGCCCTGTGTGCTACATTTTTACTATGTTCCTATGCTTCTTTTTTTTTTTTTTATTAGAATTAAATTAGTTTTATTATATTTTATATTGTATTTCCTATTTCGGATCAATGCTGGCTCTGCCACTGATCTTAGAGCAGATCCGTTCACTTCTGAGTAGGTCTAGCCTCATATCAGAATTTGATTTTCCCCACTCTCATCACTTTTTAAAATTGGTTTGTGGTTCAGATCTGGTCAAATGTCATCCAAAGATCATCCCGATTTGCACTATAAACAACACTAATTAGGCTGAGATTGACCCTTAGAAGGCTGGCTAGGAGTCGAGGCCACACAATTTGATAAGTGAAAACCTATCCCCATGGTAGTAACCACAATACCACAAAGAGCAAAAAACTAGGAGGTGGGATAAAAGTTAAGGGTTTTGTTATGCTATTCTCTCTCATGGAGTATTTCCTTAATCTGCTCAACAATTTTGTGCACTTGATACCCTTACTCCATACTGTCCTAATTCTTTTGCATATAGTGTTTTGAGAAAATTAATCAATCCTTTTGGGTAAAAAAACCATATCTATAATGCAAAAGGTTTGTATAAAGTTGCAACCTTAAACTACAGAAGCAAGGTGCACCTCAAAAATCCAATAGAAAAGAGTATTCCGAAGTTGGAAAAGTATTTAATTGATCACCTCGACATCAAGATATATGGATATAAAGAAAGAAAAATTTCAAGTCTTAAAAATAGTGCATATTGTAACAAGTGATTTTGAAAAATGCACCTTTTCTGAGACTTCAAATCTTTTATTTTTCATGGTCATATATCTTGATGTCGAGATAATCAATCAAAGGGTTTTTCAACATTGAAACTACCTTTTCCGATGGAATTTTGAGGTGCATCCGTAGTTCTATATTATAAGGTTGCATCCTTAAATAAACTTTTTTCTAAATGAATAATGCATGAGAAGGAGGAGCCAAACAAAAAACAATAGTTAATTACAAAGAACGCATGTACTATACTCCTTCGAGAGCATATATTGTCGAAGATATATTGTACTTCTGCTCCCTCAGTCATAAGATCTACTAGGGATTTTTCAATATGAAATTTTGAGAATCACATACGAGTCACTAGAAGATTATTTTCTATAAAAGAAAATTCAATTTTGAGTTTGTTAACCCTTAGATCCCACCCTCCAAAAATTGGACGACCTCTTTACAGTATGGAGCCATCATTTTGTTATGGGCATAAAGAAAGCCATTTGCAATTTGTTTAATAAGTTTAGTCTGGGTTGAAGAGGTTACATCCCCAAAAGTTGGCGCCCTAAAGTAACTCCTAAATTGGATTTTGGCTGAGGGAATAAATGGACACTCCCGCAGGAATAAGGATCTTTTGGAAATTACACGTAATGCAAATTACATTCAACACCCATTATAGTACAACATCAATTATTGAACAAATGTTTGGCAAAGGTGTGGTCTCTTTCTTTATCTTACTGCAGAAGTTAGTAAGTATAGGCAGCATATATGAAGTGAGATATATAGATTTAATTTTCGAAGTCCATCCATTTATAAGTGAGATATAAATGGGAGATAAACCCTCAAAAGAAGGCAGCATGTACAAAGTGAAATATTTATTTGTCCATCCATTTCAAAGGCACAAAGACGAGGGTGACAGGGTCCCAGCTGCCTTGGGCTGGTCCTTCCTATAAAGCGTCTATGGTCCTAATTGAGTCACGTCAGCAAATATCAGTGAACACGTGGGCCCTTTCACCACGAAGCTCACATGGTGTAATGGAAACTTCAAAGTGGTGATTAGGGTGTGGGCGCCACCACCACAACCGGCCAGCGTGATTTCCATTGCTATATTCAACATGTTTCCTTACCCTCTGTTGCTATAAATACTTAGTCCAGTCCCGATAAGTATCAGCGCAACTCACTCTCCCTTAGTTTCTCTCCTACATTCATAACTAAGATTAACCCCAAGCAAGTTACAGCCTAAAATCTCCCTCTCTCCCTCTCTCTCTCAAAGTACCAGCCCCTCTTTATTTATAAACATGGCTGCTCTACCCTTAACCATCTCATCATCACTAGTTGGATGCCAAAAGAGCTTTACCACACGCTCGGGGCGTAAATCCTCAAATTTTAATAGTTCAATGAGTAAACATGGTCCCATATGCTCTATGGAGAAACCACACGAGAGCAAGAACGAATTCTATTCTAATTTTTCTGATCCTCAGCTTTTGTTAGCATTGTCGTCCGTAAATAATCAGATGGTAAGGATAGTTAACTTGGCCGGCAGATCATAAGTTTCAATTTTCAAACTTGTCATGTACATGCTAATGTGGTACTGAATGTGGCATGTTGGAGCTTTAAGAATGTCTACATTTGTGTGTTTGTATGTTAGAGAGAGAGAACCATTCGAAGGCAAAGTAGATTGCCGTGATAATATAGGTTGTTTAAGTTACGGTTAATTTTGCCACTAAAAAAGGGATTGTATATTTTGCTTTTAATATTCCTTCTAGTCGTTAGATGTCTTACTTATTTTTTGAACTTTTAGTCTAGCTAATGACACACACATCCACTTGATTTTAAATCTCAAGACGGAATGATAATGACGTTTTTGTACTAAAAGAATGGTCTCTTTGTATACTTTCTTTTAAAATAATTGATACTTTACATTAAAAAAATAAAAAAATAATAAATTTATTCTATTTGCCATTCACTTGTAGTAGAATTATAGGCCACTCTTTTAAATGCGTTCTGTTAAATTTCGTTGTAACTCCTCGTGATCCCTCACAGGTAGATCTGAAGGCCACAAGGTTTAGAGATTTGAAGAGAAAATTGAAGAGGGTGATAAGTGGCGTCAGTAATGAGGTTAAAATTATGGCCCTAATTGACCACATCCAACGGCTTAGCGTCGCCTACCACTTTGAGATGGAAATTGAAGCGGCTCTTGGTGGCATTTACAGAGGTTTTTCTACACATGGTTCTGATGACAATCTCTTGGTTGCTTATCTAAAATTTCGACTCCTTAGACAACATGGATATAATGTGTCATCGAGTGAGTGAAACTTTAATATATATTTTATGATATTTGGTGCTGATTTATGGTTTAAGTAATTTCTCTAATTAACACCCCCTGTTTATTTTGCAGATGTATTTAACAAATTCAAGGATGGCAATGGGAATTTCAAACCCAGTTTGAGCGAAGATTTTATTGGTATGTTGAACCTCTATGAAGCTTCACACCTTAGAATACAAGGGGAAGATATCATGGATGAAGCTCTAGGATTCTGTGTCGAGCATCTCAGCACATCAATGCACCGCATAGAACCTAATATCGTAAAAATAGTGAAGCATGCCCTCAAGCTTCCATTACACTTCCGAACCCCTAGGTTAGAGACCAGGCATTACATTGAGGTTTACAAAGAAGATCCTCAGAGGAACCAAGATTTATTGGAGTTCGCCCAAAGAGACTTCAATATGGTGCAATCCTTGTATAGGGGAGAGCTGAAAGAGGTTTCAAGGTAAGTGTCATCACAAAATTCTTCTCTCTTGCGATATTATGGGCATTTCCTCAAGAGTGTCTTATCTTTCTTTAGGTGGTGGCTGGAGTTGGATATGGCAAAGGAGCTTGCATTTGCTCCAGATCAAATACACCACTGGTTTATGTGGCCTGTTGCAATCGTCCCTGAGCCTAAGTATTCAGAGTGCAGAGTTGATATGACCAAAGTCATTTCCTTCATCTACCTGATAGACGATATCTACGACGTGTACGGATCCATGGATGAACTAGAACTCTTTACCCAAGCAATTACAAGGTATGGGTAGATTTACTGCACAAACACAGATGAAAATTTAATGCCCTAACCATCACCGAATTTCTAATCTAGTAACAATAATAATTTTTCAGGTGGGATTTAAGCGAAATCCATGGTTTTCCCAAGTACATGAACGTCTGCTATTTAGCTTTACATGGTGTCACACGAGATATTGCTCGAAAGATACACAAGAATCATGGATTCGATATCACAGACTACCTAAGACAAGCGGTAAAAATCATCATCATCATCTTCTTCTAAAGATAGGGCAGCCCTAGCCTAGCACTGGTCCCGATAAGGCTGGCCCAGGCCAGGTCAAAGAGGCCCAAACCTATGCCATGACCCAGCTCGAGCCCTGTTTTGCCAGGCTGGACAAAATATGAAGAAAAATAAATAAAAAACAAAAATATAGAAAAAAGAGAGTTGAATTGGGCTGAACCAGGCCACCCCTATTGTGGCCCTGGTTGGCCTGGTCCTCAGGCCACATTTTGTTGCCCAAGCCTTAGTTTTTAAGGGTGGGGCGAGAACATCCAGCCCATTAGCATCCCTATCTATAGAATTGTGTGACAAAGTATATAAGTTTTCTCCACAGCTAAATTGGAAATTTTGTAGTATTATTGCAGTGGACCTCATTATGCGAACCCGATTTAGTTCAAGCAAAATGGTTCCGATCTGGGCAAGTGCCAAGAGCAAAGGAGTACTTGAAAAATGCAGTGACGAGTACAGGTGTGCATGTTGTCTTGATTCACACGTATTTCCTGATGGGGCACAAAGTAACAAGGGAGACTGCTCGACTCATAAGCAATGACCCTCAATTCATTCGCTGCCCAGCAACCATTCAGCGGCTTTGGGATGACTTGTCTACTTCAATGGTATGCACCACATCGACAGCTCGAGACACATACCCAAATTAAATTTAATTTAATTTTAATCTTTCTCTCTCTCTCTCTCTCTCTCTCTCTCTCTCTCTATATATATATATATATATATATATATATATATTTGAAAAGAAAAATGAGCCAATGAGACCATCCATAAACTAGTTTCCGCAACAGAAATATCCATGATGTCTCTAAAATAAATTTCTGACACCGACAATAAAATTGAAAATTAAAAAATGGCACAGATCTGGCGGATTATATGAACACTTATTTTTAGGGTGAAATGGACAGTCTAGATAATTTGTTACAATATATATTATTTTAGAACTTGAAATCTTAAGGTTTTTCACAACCATAATGTTCAAGCTGAGATGTTTTTTGTAAAGATTTTTCAATACTTGAATTACAAATTACGATGAGTTATAAGGTGAGGCTTTACTTATTTTGATAGAGCTGCAGCCCTATCAAACTATTTTCAACCTTAAATTATTGAGAGTATATTTGTCGTTTGACAATTATCCCTTATATAACACGAACAACTGGTTATAAAATATGACAGGAGGAAAGAGATGGAGGGGATGATGCCTCTTACATAGAATCATACATGAAGGAACATGAAGATGAATCAGAAGAGAGTGCTCGAGAACACACTACAAATCTCATTATAACAATGTGGAAGAGACGAATCCATGAGAGTCTCAAGCCAAACCCCTTTCAACATTCCTTCACCATCTCAGTGTTGAACATCTCTAGAATCGCCCAAGTCGTTTACCAAACTCAAGAGGATTCGACCGTGAAGGATCACATGAAGTCATTACTCCTGGATCCCATTTCCCTCTCCCTTGACAGTTAGGCCACCCCTCCAAATATGCCTTCAATCTTGTAAACCTAAATGAAAACCCGTGTTTATTTTTATTTTATTTTTTTATTTTGACGTTATATTGTGGCATCCACCCTCCTAAGCATTATTAACCCAACCTCATTTTCTCATAAATTAAAAAGTACTTCATGACTACACACATATTGGGTTTAAACTCCATACATGTTGGGTATCATGAGCCTATTCCAAATGCGTGAAATCTTTATGGGTCAATTTTAGAAGAGTGATATTTTTTAAAGATATATTTCCTCGAAGAAGGTAAATTTTATTTGGATGGTATCAAGTCAAAGATTATCAATAAATCGGCTCATCATGAAATCGAAAACTAATCATTTTTATTTTAAAAGGTCGAATAAACAAATCGGGTAAAAATATAGATCGGCAAAAAATCTTCATGCAAAAAGATTGCGAATATATCGGACTAGGCTCAAAAAATCGGAGTAAAAAGATCGGATATATTTAAAATATTAAAAATTTTGAAACTCTACATATATATATCACTCAGTATAGAAAAATTAATAGTAGTAAGGAGTAATGCTTTCACTCTATATATATCATTCAGTATAAAAATGACCTCCCTATTAATATAAATTTCAAATATTCACTGTGATATATCTCTAAATCATAAGTTGGTTATCTATTCTATCTCTAAATCATAAGTTGGTTATCTATTCTATTCGTCAAGAGAAGTAGTGGGTAGGTGAATTCAGTTTTCATCTTGCAAACTATGGACTACCCATAACCACCCGAAAAAATACACACCATATCCATAGCAGAAAACCAGAGAGTGTTTTGGGAGAATAGAAATAAAAATAAAAATAGAAATTTCATAAAACAGGAGAAAGATATTGAACTTTCCAAAAAAAAATCAGAGTATATTAATATAAAAGGGTTTTGAAACAATGTTTTCAAATTTTGATAAAGTCGCGTTTTAAACTTCTTCCTAAAAAGATCATGTATTTGTTGAAAAAGTTGTAGATTAAATAGTTTTTAAAAAAAGCACCTATTTTTCGAAAAAATCACAATTAAATCCGCGACTTGCTAACTATAATCTAGATACACTCCCACTACTTTGTCTCTTATTTATTTATTATTGGCTTACTCAGCGGATAATATTCTCCTGCTCATGGTTGAAATAAAACTCAAGACGTCATATTGTGGCATGGACCACCTTGATTACCTATGCCTTGGGCTCATTCATACTTCTTTCAAATAGAGTAAGAGGGCTATTTTTCTTGAAATGCTTTATGATTTTTATTGTAATTTTTACAAAATTTTATGGTTAAACTTTGTATAGCTATTTGATTATTATAGCAATTTTCAATCGTTTTCTCCAAAAGGGAAGAAATCCAATAAAAAATAAAAAGCAAAATAAAACTAATTAAAAGAAATCCAAGTAAAAACATTCCAGAAATTAATAAATATTGAGGACAAAGCTGAACTACTAAGCTTTGTAATGTCCATCAAGCAGAATAATACCTTGACAGTTACGCCCCATGCAAGAACCACCCAAGGAAAAAATTCTTTTAAATAGGGTTCACAAGAATCACAAAGATGCTAGTGCTTCCTACAAAAGTATAAAAGTTAAATTTCCTTTCTAAACAAAAAAATTAAATTATGAAGAATGATTCTACGTGCGTTAGATGCAACAGAATAGGATGCACTAGCGGGTGCACGTGCTCCGCACATATAGGAATAAATTTATACGAGATAATAAATGGCTTTTGTTTTTGCGCTAAAATTTTTTATAGTTATTTAGGAATGTTTCTTTTCTTCTTCTTTATGTTTCTACATTATTATACAAATACAGCATATGGTTTATACTTTGTATGTGTACATGGCAAATCACATGAAGTGGACGTTTGAGCATAAGTGAAGAAAATCAGATTAATTTTTTAGAGATTTACATGTGGTAGTACAGGGATAAAATAAAATAGCATTATAAAATTTATATATCAAAATAATATATACATCCGCGTGGACGCTCTAAAAATGTGGTGTTGAATTAATCAATTAAAATATTTAAAAAAACGTATGACTCCAAATGAATAACTATGGGAAAAACATTCGGGGCCAAATTCGCCTATGCATTCCGTATCATATAAACACATGTTTTACATCATATAATGGGAACGAAACAGTTCTAGAGGTTTAATCCTCTATTACAATTTACATTAACCAAAGAAAAGAAAAATAAGCTGAAGACCCTTGTTTCAGGTCTTGAAACGTATACCTACGTTTCTAGGAAAAAAAGTATATAAATATATAAAAAGAGGAGAAATAATATTAAGGGGCATATCAGTCCACATACCTGAGTTTAAACACAAGGATACTAATCCTCAAGTCTGATCGTTCTTCGAGAATGGGCTTCAAGTGGATCATGCAAAAATGAACTTCTCTCTCTGTGTATTGGTCACACTGATTGAACAATCACGGACAAGAATTGTCTCTTTCCCGCTCTCTGTATTACAATATGTCTCTCTCAATCTCACTCTCATTGAAGTGCACTCTACTGAAAGTGTATGAACTACAAATGTGTGTATACTAAAACTAGGCGAACCCCTCTCTAATCGAGAGATAGGTTTATATAGACTTAATCACTAGAAAATCACCAATCTTCAACTGATAATCACGAAGATCTGATCTTTTAATTTGCATCCTTCATTTTCATCTGCATATTGATCTACATCTTCATGATCTTTATCTTCTCATGCTGATTGCCTACATCTTTTCACGCTGAATGCCTTCATCTTTATCATTTCACGCTAATCTTCATTTGATGATGATCTTGCTATTTAATTTCATGGATTTAGATGAGTTAACATGTTCGCATAGGCATCTCCCAATGATAATCACTCTTTCAAGTCAATACTCATCTTCAAAGGCATTCAAATTTCAAACATACTAATTCCATATTCAACTGAGATATTGCAGGAGCAAAATCAGGAATTTGTTACTTTATCTTCTATTGTCGGACAGTTAAGCTTCTGCACCGCGGTTTGATACTTCTTCATATATCTTCAATCACTTTATGATGACGCATGCTTTGATTATAAAACCTAGGAGGGATGAAAGAAGGTTCAGTGATGAACACAATGGTCTAAATCTCATTTAAAATGGATCATATATGAGAGAGATATGGTACGTCCAAGTTACCATGTTTCTGCTGAAAATTGCATCTGCAAAACTAGGGAATTGCGGATGCAACCACTTCCAATGTATGAATCAATCAATGTTGTAGTTTTTAAAGGTGATAAAACATCGAGTCAAGAATCCAATGGCCCTAGTCTCATGAAATAATTCTTTATATCGAGAGAGAAATCCCAATTTTGATGACCAGGTGTCAACCTGGCTATTACACAAATAACATAGAAGTTTTAAGGCTCTAACTGTTGTGGCATGCAGACGATGGCTTAATTCAACTACGATCGATATGAAACTTCAAGGTGAACGTTATAATGCCTCAAACATGGGTCCCTAAGAGTCCAGGCCCAATTCCAAAATTTGAAGTTACGGGGTGTCAGTCAAGGCATATCTTAACCAACAATGGATATCGACATGGGCTAAGCCAAGTCCAAATATTGCTCAAGTTATATCACTCTTAGACTTTAAGGTATATAAGGCTTCGACATGTATATCTTTAAGGATTTTACCTCAACATATCAACATATGATGAGGTTTCACTTATGCTCTGTCTATTAAAACCCCATATTCTTAACTGATGAAGAATTAAAAAGAGTCATAAGAAATCTAATACAACACTCCTTCAATATATAGTGGAGAGGCATACATAAATATGCAATTGAGAGGCATACATATGCCATGGAAGTATCTGTATCTCAGAGTTTCGCCTCAAATTGAAATGTCTTTATGATCTCTTATTATAGACTAAAAGAAATGATCAGTCAAAAGAAATTTACCTACACTTAAGGTAATTATGAAGATCATAATTCTGGTTGTCATACGATAAGAAATTTACCTGTACTGATGTTCATACCGAAAATTATGAAATTTACCCAAAATCATAATTATACCGTAATTGATTTTCATACCGTAAGAAAATCATCAGTTTTACCGTATGAAAATCAATTACTGTATGAAAATCAATTTACCAAAAATCATAATTATACCGTATGATTGTACGGTAAGAAATTTACCTGTACGATATAATTTACCATATGACTTTCATATGGTAAATTATTGAGGCCATTACACTGATATCAATAAAATGATTGTCATAATTGAGTCTACAATTGTCTATCAGTCAATTGTAAAATCAGCTATCAGTTGTTGTAAATGATTGTCTATCAGTCAGTAATTGAAATGTTGTTAGAGCGTCGGTTTGAATAAAGATTGTGAAGATTTCATCTGTGTAAGCTCGACTGGTATGTATTTCTTTTTTATAAAAATTGAATTCTTATATTTTATTTCTGTTGCGTACAAGTTTCTTTTAAAATCCATATACCTATGATTAGTAACTCGCAAATCCATGCCTATTTAGGCAGAGAGCGTGTTAAAGCTAGAATAGAAAAGAGGAAAATAAATTTGTAGGGGGCTTTAGATGCTAGAAAGAAATCTTGTATGGCTGAAATAACTTGTTTGAATAAGGATTTAAATAAAAAAAAAGATAATTTAGAGCATATCTCCAAAAAATAATATCAACAGTATTAGCAGAGGTCTAAATGGTTTAATAGATATATGTAATAGTTGGTTTAGATTAGGTCATAAAATACAATTTGAAAATGATAAACAAATGATTAACAGATTAATGAAAATTGAAGAAAACATAGAAAGTTTAGGTTCCATAAAAAATATTGACCTGAATTAAGAATAAAAGATGTTATTGTTCACTATGAATTCACTCATGGATAAAACACTTGATTCTGAAAAACAATATGAAGCAAGAAAAAGACTTTTTTGTGGAACATAAATATTAACTCTAGAAGAAGATTAAAAAAACTTTGACGCCATCAAAGAAATAATTGAATATTAGAAATCACGATATACAAAAGAAAAAAAATATAGAAATAAGAAATAAACTTATTTCTAGCATGCAAAGATTATTTACTGAACATAAAAAACTCATG